GTGACAAGCCCAGTACAAGGCATGAGCTGTGGGTGGTGACAAATACTGCTCACAATCARCCCAATGAAAAGGCACAAGGAAAATGCAGTAACTCTGTGATTACTCCAACAACACAACGGGGGTTACCCCCTCCACAACAACTGGGCCATGTCCAGCCCCAGCAGGACCCATTGCAGCATCACCCCGTGCATCAGCACTGTCCAACGCCGCCCTGGCTCCTCTGGGCTGTCACCTCTGTCCCCAGCCTGGCTGCTCACAAGTCCCCAACTGCTCTCACTTGGCCCTTGACTCTGTGACGAGGAGCAGGGGACAGCACAGCGTGGGGAGGACACTGTGTTTCCTGCCCTGTTGTTTTTTCCTTTACGTTACCCAATTCCTGYGAATCCYGGGCTGSTGAGATGTGGAACAAGCATTAATGRCAGCACCCAGGGGATCAGCAGCCACTCCTGGCAAAGGCTGGAGCCAGCAGCACCCTGGCACTTGCCTGTGGCTGGAGGTGGCCCTGGCACTGTGAGAGACTGGATCCTGCCCGGGCACCCACTCCATCCCATCAGGGTGGGAATGAGCTGTTGGAACATCAAATCCACGTTTTTTTCCTAAGCACCCCCAGCACTTCGGGCACTGTGTAACACATCACACACCCCACCCAACTCTGCAAATACCATCACCCTGCTCCAGCACCCACAGCTCCTCACAAAACAGAGGGCAAAAGCTCCATCTCAGGCAAAAGTCACCAGTTCAGCCTTTAAACGGTGATGACAACAGTAAGTGACAGAACAAAAATTACCCTCCACAGGTTGTGGGTGAACCAGGTTGATTCATGCCCATGTTTAATGCACCAGCTGCTTTCTCTCTTCTGCTACACCAAGAAATTGCCACAGCTCCTGTGGCTCTTGAGCTCATTTTCAATGAAATTGCAGCCACAGCAGTGACCCCATCAGCGATGGTGCAGGACTCATGTCCTGCATTGTCCCCAGACAGTCCCTTCCCTCACAACAGCAGCTGCTTTGTAGTGCCTGCAGAAAGCCCTTTACAACACTAATTTACAGTATTATTACAATTCAATGGCCCACTGAAATCAATGTCAATGCCTTATGTGAGATGCTGTGACAAAAAGGCAGCCCTAAAGGAGATACAACAGTTTTTGTCTTTCAAAATGTTTTAGTAAAAAAACCAAACCAACACGACCAGATTCCTGCTTTGCATCTCCTCCACTCCTGAAGTAATGGTGGTTTGTAGCTGCCACAATTTAGCCTGATSCAAATATTCCTGGGAACCATGGCTTGAGGATTATTTTTCAATCCCAGCTACAGTCTGAAGTTGAGACACAACAACAACCCTCAATCTCACCCAGGTTTTGTGCCTTCTTTGCCAAGCTCCCACTGACAAAAGCTTCAGGGCTCAGCAAAAGCACCTGAGGTATTTTTCATTCTTAGCTTACAAGCTTTATTTTTAGAMGCCTTCCCTGGTGTGCAGGTTAACTTTCATTTTCTTTCATTGCTTTATTGCCTTACAAAATTCCACCATCTCCTAAGGAAAATCAGACTTTTCAATGTAATTATTYGTTTGAAAACAAGGAATACTTCACATCCAATGACCTACCAACTTCTTTCCAGTTTCAGGACTTCAAACTAAAATAATAGCACATAATAACTCAGTAAGTTTACACAGACATATATAAAAGGCCTATTTCTGTAGGAGGAATTGTCCCTGCATTCCTCAGTCCCTGCCTTCCCCCTCCCAGGCTGTGTCAGGGAACCAGGGCACCAAAACCTGCCCAGCCCCAAACAGAACAGTGCTTGCTGCAGGGAGAGGAGGTTTCTGTGCATGTGAGCAGGAACAGTGTCACACACACACTATGTCCTGTACCAGAGGGGGAATTGGTGGCACAGAGCCAGCTCAGGCTCCACAGGGCTCTGGCACTTTGTGCCCAATCTCAAACATCAACAGCCCACAGGSTGTGGGCAAACCCACCAGTCTGGGCATTAAGGCATCTGGGATGGCAGTGATGTGAAAATACAGCGTTTTACTCAGTACCCAGACACTCTGAGAATGAGAAAAAGCCAGGAGGTGTTTCCCAGCACGGAGCCTCAGCCATTCCTGCAGCTCTAGCTCCTTTTCCTCTTGCTGCAGGGAATTCCTCCATCGTTCTCTGGCATTCTCRGCCGGCGCAGCTTCCTCTTGTTCCCTGTCAGAGCCCTGGGGCTGCTGCTGGGAAATGAAAGAAAAAGGGTAACAGTGGATTACAAGTGCCCTAAACAGCACACACTGACACTGCACAGAAGCACCATGAGCAGCACATGGGAATATGGTACTGGTGATGGGGAATCATGGAATGGTTGGGSTTGGAAGGGACCTTAAAAACAACCTCATTCCATCCCCAGCCACAGGCAGGGACACCTTCCCCTAGACCAGGCTGCTCCAAGCAGTCCMACCCAGCCTTGGACACTTCCAGGGATGRGGAGAGAAATATTTCTCTGCACCACAAACCATCCCATAGAAGATCAGATCTAATATTCCATTAAAAAGTTTCCTTTTTAAAAAATTATTTATTTATACCTATATATACCTTAGAAAAATGACATTCATTTGGGCATCTGTGGATTCTTGGACCACCCAGGTATCATTTTTCAAGGATCCTCATTCACTGACCAAACTGTGCTTCCCAGAATTTTTGAGATTCTCCAAGAATTGGACTTTCCAGACACATTTGCTTCTCCAGAATTCCACCAACTGCAAACTACAGACCTAAACCCAGTGCAAGTACTTCAACTCTTGGTTATTTTACTCACCTGCAAGAGGATGCTGAACACGTCTCAGATGCTTCCACATCTGCCAAAATGTCCGAATTGGTGCTGAAGGGGAAAATAAAATGGATGGAAAATATTTTAGCAACACCTGGACAGCAACACAGGGCTCAACTCAGCAATGTCAGCAGAACCCATGGATGAGACTGACCCCTCCAGCAGCAGTGGCAATGAGAAACACCATCAACCTACAGAAACTTCTRTTCTGTATCACTTGATTTTTAATTATTCCTGGGGTCTCATTATGATTATTTAACATAAGACAATTCTCTGTTTATGTCTGCCAGGTGGTACCTACACCACCTCTGCATTCCCAGGCACCACAAAGTTTCTCTGGAGATGATCTGCAAGATGCGTTGGTGGGTAAGGTTCTCTTCTTTTATTAAAGTTTCTCTTAAATAAATCAATGTGACATACAATTTCTGTAAGACAGCGGGATGTTTTTCACCCTTTGTCATTTTGCCTCCCCTGTGAAATGAGAGTTTTCAGCTGTTACTGTGGCAATAACTAAAGAACCAASAGAAATTTGGGTGGACAGACAACGCCAGGTTAGAGTAACCTCTGACATGTGTACATTCAGTCACAGATAAAAAGGAACAGGATACCAAAAATGGATGGGGAAAGTTTTGAAGGTCAACATTGTTTTTAGTCTCAGAATTAAAAGTCCATCAAAAGCTCATTTTCGGTGCATGAACTGGATGCCCAGGGAATGAGTTATCCTCATATTTCCAAACCCTACTCTGATGTTCCAGYTACATTTAAAAAAAGAATTGGGGAGGACATAGGGCTATTTGTGTGCTTTTAGTCCCCTAAAATAGAAAAAGAACAGGTTTGAGGCCTGAACATGATGTACTTCCCTGCCTTGAAAACTGCAGCATTTACCACCCGCTGCATTTGTCACCGCAAGACAATAAAACTGAAAAACTCTGGCTAATGCTCAAACCAATAATGAGCGTTCAGAATTTACATGTGGAATCCATGGTCTGTGCCGACCAAASTTTTTAAAACCAAGCAAAAAACTCCAGGAGTGAGTTCCCCCTTTGGCCCACACATGGAGCTGAGAATGGACACACCACAGCCATCAGTCCCCAGAGAACACAATTAACTCCTACACTCTAATTGCACTGAGAGACTGAGGAGTGCACAAAATGGAGCTAAAAACCCTTCAGGATTTCTTCCAACATCCCACTGCTCCACACCAGCTCCTCACCAAAGCAGCTCTCTCATCCCAGCTCTCCCAGACATCAATTTGGGTTACAAAGCCTGGGTTTGGAGTTGAGGTAATTATACACCTTTCTAACACATGCCAAAGGACAGAAGTGTTGGAAAATTTAAAAAAAAAAATCCTTAAATATGCCACAGTTGAAAAGCATTTATCAAAAATATATTGTCAACAAAGTAAAAGCAATTTTGACCAAGTGAATTCATGTTTTCAGTTAACTCTTTTTCTTTCCCTGAAGAAAACTCTTCCATCTTAGCATCAAATGATTAGCCCTTAAACTGAAGATTATAAATTAAATGAGGGAAACAGCTGCCTCATTCTGAAGGCTTTTTCTATAAATTTTAGCCCACAGGGGCCAAAGAGATCACAGAATTTAGAACAGTTTTATTTCTCAAGCATTGTCTGCCTTTTCAATGCTCCAGAAGCATCTACCTGCACTGCATCCAGGCACCACAAAACACCACTTCAGACTTTATTCAGACTCCAAACCCAAGACAAATTCCCACAACAGGTTTTCTGTCCTTTCCTTAACTRAAGGTCACTGTTCTCTCCTACAATTTTACAGATCATTTCCAGATGAGTCGATTTTTACAGCCAAACGATTGAAGTTCTTCACCAGAACTGCTCAAGATGCAGCAGGGTGATCCTGCATTTATTCATGGCTCCACTTTGGGGACAATGGAGCTCAGGGACTCAGGCAATTCCCCAACTCCACATTCCTGCAGGATTGTTTTCCCTGCTCCCCTATAGACAGTCACCCAAGAGTCAACTCTTCTTGTCTTGACCATCATTTGGGTTTGACTTCCACCCCCCTTTTTTCATTTAGGATAAACACACCACCCTAAAATAGAGAGAAAAAAGCTGATGTAAGTGTGAATGATATGTCTTGTTCTCAAACTGAGAGGAGCAAATAGCTCTTTGAATTAGTTTATTTTAAGGCAGATTAAGTTTCTCCTYGGCCTGGTGCAAGCATCATCCTGCTGTGCATGGTGGACCAGGCTCTGGCACGTGCTCTGGACATGTTTTCCCTCAAWGCTGGCACAAGAAATGAGCTCCAGCCCATCTCATTTTATCAGTATCGTTTGGAGGTGAATGCCCAGTCACCAGTTTTCTCCCTCTTGCAATCCTGCTTCCATTTTGTCCTGTCTGTAACAAACAGGACGAGTTTGTTGCTGGAGCAGTGATATCCAAGATTGGCTGTGCACCACAAATCTCCCCACTTTGCACAACCTCATGGTCACACCGTGTGCCCGTGGCTTCTCTGGAGAGATCTGCCAGCCCTGGCCTTGCCCTACCCCCTGGAGAATCTCATCTCTATTGATCTTACACCAGTTCCACTGTCTCACTGCTTCCCTTGACTCTTTCCAGGCCTCCTCAGCTTTCTGCAGCCCAAGAACACAGCCCTAAGGCTGAGCCTAAGGAAAAGGGRAAGATCTGCTGCCTCTGTCTGAACTGCCTCCCTCAGCAGTCTGGCAGCAGTGGCATGTGGAGGCTGAAGCACCAAAGCACCTTGTTGTGGGTTTAAAACCTGATTTTTTCCTTACCATAATTCCTATTTTCAGAGCTCCAAAACACCCAGACCCCGTGGCTCTCAATCCTCCTGGACACAGGCTGAACGTGAGAGCTTCCACCACACACATCTGAGGCCACCAGCTGTCCCTAAAGGACACSATGTCCCCAGGACTTTCACCACCAAACCTCACAGCATCTGCCATTTGTTACAGCTCAGAATTTTGGGAAGAAAAGTATGAATCAACAGCATAGCAGAAAAGTRTCATCATCCTTTCACAATGAGCCCATATGTGAGGCCAAAATTCACAGATCAAACGCTCCTGTCTAACACTGTGATATACATCATCTCTGAGCCAAAGCAATGCATGATTTATTAAGTAAAAAGTGTCCTGAAGAACTAAAAAAGGCAATTATTGAACTGATCAGCATATTTTCATACACTTCTCTCATCTGATAGCAGTGGCCAGAGAGTGGGACAACGTTGTCATCAAACTCAGGCTGAAGCCACGGCCCAGGAAGAGCTCACAGAGCATTTCCAAGCACTCCACCCTGCCAGTTTTGTCAAACCCATGTCAGCTGGGTGCATTCAGAGGGTTCCTGCCAYCCAATGCACTCCTATTTCTTCTGCTGATGAACTAAAGCCCATACTCTGCAAAGCACATAAATCCAAGGATAAGGAAGCAGCTAAATCCAGATCTTGGCTCCTAAACCCAAACAGCCCCACCTCCTGTAAATGAGGCCCTTTCCTTGGGCATGAGCCCCTCCTGGCAGACACTGCAGTCACTCCAAGTATTCCAACACCACAGGGATTTCTGCAGGCTGTGGATATAGCACTTTCTCACCAGGATTTCCAAATTCTGACTGCTTCAGCATCTCAGAAAAGGTCCATGTTGTGTTTTGTCTGCTGTTCAAGTCTCACTCTAATCATCAGGAACCAACATTTGTGTGTAACACTAAGCTTTAAGAAAAAATAATTTCCTTTAAAAACTGCATATTATCCTCATTATATAAAATACTAATAATGGAATATTTCCTTTACATAGCTCATTAACTGGCTTATCATTGTTCCTCCTAATTTCTTTTCTAATTTTCYTATTGTTTAAGCAGTTGCATAAAATCTGGCTCCAGTCCCAGAAAGCCAAAGAATAGCACAGGACTATTCACATGGAGCACTGCAGTCCTGTGGAAGCTTTGTGCAATTGTGACTTCAGAGCTTTGAAAAATTACCCTTTCAGAGCCATGGCTGCATTCTGGAGTTTATCTGTAACACACAGTTTGCTCTCTTGGTGGGACCATCAATCTCTGTAGAGCACGAGCATGTTTGGGGTGCTGCTACAACTTCCATGCCTGGCCTGGATTCTTTCTCCAGCAATTGTAAAATACTGATTTTCTCAGTTTAAACAGCAACCTTTGAATAATACTAATTCATCAGTGATTAGTGTACAATGGATGAATTTTTAATCTTGACCAACCAATTTTTAATATTGACCATACCAATACCTTAGCAAGTATTGGTATGAGACTGAAAAGAGACAAACCTTATGAAGGAGAAAACAGAAGAAACACTGATTTTCTTGCAGCATCTTTTGCAGAACAAACATTTCAACTCTGACTTGCAGATTATTCTGCTAYATTCTATATGCTACTCAGCATTCTCATTTTCTTTTAATTCATCAAAACACTGCTCCTCYGTTTAGAAGCGCTCTCCTCATGAGATCACAGCATGCAGATTTCAAATTCCAAATATATTTCAAGTTTTGGCACTTCAAGGAGAAAAACATTTGCTTTTGGCAAAGGATATCCTCTCGTTATCAGAAAAACACAAACCTCAGAAAATCATAGAACAATACTACTGAAACAGCACAATACAACYGAAACCATCAACATCTAAATCATTCTTGACTCGTGCTGGATTGATTTCACTATAATTAACAAAATCCCAGCCCCATGGAAACCACACAGTGATTAAATAAGTCTTTTTTTCACGCAGTTTAAATGACTCCACCTGCTTGGTCCAGGCCTAAGCCAGACTGACCTGCTTGTTGAGCCAGGGGACAGTGASAATTCAGGAGAGGCTGATCTCTGGCATTCCTTCAAGCACTCAGACTCACTTTGGCCATCAGCAATTTCTGAGGGGASTTCCTGGGCTTTTCCAACAGCAACAGCTGTGTGATGCTCTTCACTAGGTTCTACTAAGAGATTAGAAAGAATGATAATGCAAAATACTAGTGTTTAGAATTCTGCAGCCTAGACATAGATTTAAAAAAAAAATAAAGTTACAAATATTTAAACACCAACATCTCATTCCCATATATTCGTTTTCCAAAACTCAGTTTGAAAGGTTTAATTTCTTTTCGTGTATATTTAAAAAAAAGAAACCAACCAACAACTCCCTGAGAACCAGAAATGTTTCASTTGTTGAGTTTCAAACTCAGGGAGAGAAATAAGCCATGAGGACGAATTACACATTTCATAACATGGAACTTCATTTCAAAAATTAGAAAACACTTAATGAGACAGTGCTGTTGGCTGCTTGTGCTGCCAATTCCCATCAGAGAGTTTGAGCTTTAGGTTTTACAGATCAAGTTAACAGGCTTATTTTCAGTTGTGATTTACTTCCTTATGCAGCTAAGACAAGGTCAATGCAGATAACTGACATTTCCATTTTAAYAGGAAAAATAATTTCTAGACAACACATATCAGACAAAAATTGACAACCATTCTGCTGGTTTTGTGTCAAGTGTTTTGTTCAGTGAAAAGATGAACAGTTCTCTGAAAAGACATCTTCTGCCTCTCCAAAGAGAAAACAGATGYAGGTTAAAAATTCTGGTATGAAACGATAAACTACCCTTATGCCATACCCATAAATATTTTCAAGTGAGTTTTAACTAGAAAGCTGCTCAGGACATTAAGCCCTCCCAGACCCATCTCCCTGATGGCTCTGATTGTGACAGTCACACATGTCCTGTCCCCACTCCAGGCCCAAGCCATGGTTTCTGACTTTTCCACCCCTCCAGCAATGCTTTGGACAGAAATAGCCAAGCAGRACTTCAATTAGAGAGYGGAGGGGCTTCACAAGCTTTGGATYCAGCTCAGCTTGCCCTTTCYTGCTAASAGGAATAATTAAATATCAGGGGYATRTTTTAGTCTGCTGAAAACAATCAGCAGATCCCAGTGAGTCAGTTGTCCAACTAATGAAACACAACTCTGAAATTAGCAGGGTAAAAATAGCAAAGGCCTGTGCAATAATGCAGCCTATCACAGSTAATATTCACCAAATCAAATTATTTATCACTAATATTTATCACCAATATTTTACTTATAAATCCTCATGGCACTTCCCCTTAGGCAAAGCACATCCCTATGTTTAAAAGTTCCAAAAGACTGGAAAACAGACATTTTAAGCTTAAAGATGGAAAGCAAAATTATGTAAATCAGGAACAGATGATTAAAATGTCACCAGAAACAGAGTGAGGTTAAGTTACATCAACCAGAAGTTGATGGACAGGGCTGGACACTGCTCCTTACTCGTAACAAGTGAGTAACTGCAGCCAGAATTCCCACTTTGCACTGTGCTCATGTACATAAACACAAACAGCAGGTTAAAGAGAGGCAACATCCTGCACAAACAGTCTAAAACAAGCCCAAGGATTTTACTGCTTCAGCCTGAGGACTGAATATAGAAATAAATCCTGATTCCAATCCCCACAAACACTCTGCAGTTCCCAATTCCACCCACACTCACAGTAACGATGCTGGAAGGTTGAAGAGCAGCAAGCAGCACCCACCTTCACCTTCATTCCAGAGGGTCCAACCTCAGCATCTTCAAAAATCTGAATGAGAACCTGATCCCCCTTCTCAACAAACTGCAATGTGTCCCCAATAAAGCACAYCCAGACACAATCCACAGAAATCAAACCAATGCATTTATTACGGGTCATGCTTGTGGTCCCCTCKAAAATCAACACCCTCATCATTTTAGGGTGTTTGATCTTTATGCTGGTTGTGTTTTCTTCCCCTTAAAGGCTCCAGAAGAACGACAACAGATAAAAGACCATTTCTTTTGGGAACAACCCCCACTTCCCAGTGCAGTCCTAGAGGGGACTGTACTAAACATCACTGACCTGTGGCTGTTGGCAGCTCTTTGACAGTGACTTCCTCTTTGATTTGRGCACTTCCTGCTTTCTTCTCACCTTTTTTCTTCCACTGTTTATTTACTTGATCCACTAAAAACTTGAATTCACTTCTGTGTTTGTTTCCTGAAAGGTAACAGAGCATCACTGACAACTCCCACAGAACTGAAGAATGGCAAAAACACTGAAAGGATGTGAATAAAAATGGACACAAAACACTRAATTAAAAACATTTTTGTTACAGCAGATGAAAACCAAGCCAGCCCTGTGATATGTTCCACATTCTATTAACGATCCAAATCTGTGTCTGTGCTTTTATAAAGCCACCCACAGACCAGAGCACTATGAGCACTTCAGCTCTGTGTCATGCTCATTACACCGTTGGGATTCAGATCCTTTAAATAAGTTAATAATGCAAATACTCCCTGCACTTGCAATCACTTGGTACATTTTAAGCAATCCTCTGGTGCTCAGCCAAAACAATGMAATTGTTTAACCTAGATACTTCAAATTCTTTATGCAGAGGCTGAGAAAATAGCTGGTGTCCTCAGCAGGATGCTGTGATCACCTAAGCCTGGCCAAGCAGGAAAGGACCCCACTGACAGGAGGGCAGATTTGGGGGGTTCAGGCTCTGCTCCCACAGAAAAGGGACAGGGAGAGAGGGAACAGCTGCAGCTGTGCCAGGGAAGGGCCAGGTTGGACATCAGAAACCATTTCTTCACAGAAAGGCACTGTGTCACYTCCCTGAGCAGCTCACACCAATGACTGACCACCCTTTCAGTGARGAAATTCTTTCATCATGTRTTCTATGATAAAAGAACACCGAGTTCTGCCCCACAGAAGGAAACAGATTTGACACCAGCTCCTCTGGAATAGCTGAAAATGCCAATAGGGCCGAAGATTCTGTTGATAAAAAGCAAATTCTGTCCCAGATGTCGTGTCTGAGYCGCTGCACTCTCATTATGAAATTCCTTTGGTGCTTCAGTTTTTCCAGCATTRCTATCTTTTGTTGTTCTGGCTCGTGGCAGAACTACAAAGCTTTTTGCAAAGAAATGTCCTGGCACACGAGCACAAAATCTCTGCACATCACACCAAACTGCAGCACCACRACATAACCCAGCCCCAGCCAGAACCACAAATATTTAAAACACAACACAAAGCAGCAGACCTCCAAAGAACATTGCAAATGAAAAGYTGTAAGTAGAAAAGGTAACTGAGTAATTTTGTCCTGCCTTTCCCCAAGGCTGTTCACAGCCCCRGAGTGTTGTTTCATATGGAAAAGCAGAACAAAAGTACATGTTGGGGTTCTTTATTCAGAATTTGCACCAGAGTTCATTCATTCATTCAGCTGGGAATTAGAGTCTGGGGTGCAAATGCTGTAAAATAAAAGGAAAAAATCCTTCATGATGTAATAAAGCTTTTTAAAGTCATTCTGTGGTACAGTGAAACAATGGCATTTGATAAGAGTTCTTTAATCTCAAACTATTCTTGAATTTTAACGTAATGCTCCTTTTTCATGGTTATAACTTTTCCTTATTGCTACTATGAGAAATAATTGCCTGACATCAGTTATCACTTACCTCTTTGGTCAGTACTTTTTATTAATCTTAAAACCACATGTTCCCATTAAAATACTTTTCTATCCTCTTTTTTTTCCTATTATTTTAGGGTTTTAATTTTTCAGTTAAGCTGCTTGAGACTGTGAAGATTTTTAATTGAGTAAATCGGTTTTGTAGCTATGTCCTTTTGGCAATCTAAACCMAATAAAATACCTGTCTGTGAAAAATTAAGAGAGTATTTAATATCTCTTTGTTCTGAATGTAAGAGGGTTCCCAGTGCCACCCCACAAGTGCAGATCCCACAGCCCAGGGGAGACACCACCACTGAGTAATTTAATAACTGCTGTTATTAAATGCACAGCAACATGGGGGACACCAAGAGGGAACAAAGTGCACAGAGATGCCTTTGGAGGCAATCAGTGTGTGTGTTTTAGTTAAAAGGAAAAGCAAGTGAATTTAAAAATGAAAGGAAGTGAAACTGCACATTACTTACGGTATTCAGCATGGATCTCATCTATCTCTTTCTCTGTCTGGTCTTTTTTGAAGATCAGGCTCTATAGCAATCACACATATGTTTTTAACATAAACAAAAATATCATAAAGCTGCAGACTTTGAAATCAGGAGACTTAAAACTGGAAAAAGCAGCAACTGGAAAAACCCTCCTCCCCGCTTTCAGCAMCTCATCACATTAATCACATTTACAGAACATATCCACAGTGCCTTGCCTTGCTTCCACCAAACCAGGACCAAGCCAGCCCGTGTAACACCCAGCATATGTGGCCATAAAATATTCCCTAACACTGTGCAACACACAGGCTTCAAAAGTCACCAAAGTATCAAATGTCATGGGAAAAGAACAGGCACTATTGCTGATACGGAAGCATGGAATTTGCTAGCTAAATCCTAGAGAATTCTAGGAAGCAAAATATTCCCTACACTGTCATGGAGGGTCAAAATCCTCCAGTATGGCCAAGAGGAACATTACTCAAGAATTTTTAYTGCAGTCTAAAATTGCTCCTATTAAACAGTTTGGGCATAAAGCTCAGCAGTGAACCAAGGACTGCCCATGACCAATGTGCCATGTGAGAAAACCAGGTTCATTACAGCAATGTGAATAAGTCATGAATTCTAATAGGCAACCTGGGAATTCCCAAAATAAAGCAGTAGGCAGACAGTKTCAGTGCCCACTCTGCAGTTTCTGCCAGTCACCCATCTGAAAGAACAAAGCTCACTTACATTTTCACCAGSTTTATTACACTCAAGCTGAAGCCGAATCTTCTCATTCTTTTCCAGCTCTTTAACAAGCTCTGCAACTGTTTGGAAATACAAGAAAGGGCTCACTGAAACAGAAGCTGTGTAATAAAAAGCTGTGAAACTATTGTGAATTTAAAACACAAAGAGCATYAGCCCTCCAAGAGTGAAAGCTCGGGCTCCAATCCCAGGCACACGTGCCATCTTTCCAAATATATTTCCTCCTGCACAAAACAGTCCTTGTGGTACAGGCACATCATTCAGAAAGAGTTTCTATTTTATATGGGATGTCTCAATGGAAGACACAATAATTGCATCTACTGTTTATCTYTGCCTCCTAAATCACCTTCCAGGGCAACAGAACCATGTGCAGGCTCAAGGCCAAAGCACAGAGCCCACAGATGAATTACAACCCACTTCAACAACTGTCAGACACGTCCAAAGCCTATAAACAACATCACTGTGTTTCTCAGCATTTAACTAGAGCCACGGCTGTGCAGAACCCTGCACAGTTTACTCTGACATTTGCTTTTACAAATCTGTTTCTGCATTTCATCATCTCCACAGCACTGCCAGGTAGCTGTGGGCAGTTATTAAAACAAACACTTTCACCAGACAGTGAAGCAGTCAGAACAAAAGCTTATTAAGCTGTGAAGGAATAAAACCTGTTTCAAACTGGTTTAAGCACACTCCAGGAATTTGGCACCTCTKCTTCCTCAAAAGTCCAGCTACTCATGTTACACAGTGACCTCAGGCTCACTGCTACCACTCAAAATGCATGTCTGCATCTTAAGTGTGAGTTTAATAATTCACCATTTGCACACAGGTTTTGAACATCAGCAGAGTTTTGCATTATTTAGGGCAGAACAGCTGAAGTCCATATCACACACTCAGGAATTCTTCCTTCACTCTGGATGAATGAGGCACAGACTCAGAGCCACTGCATCACCAGCACTGAGTGAAGACTCACCCTGAGCACCTCCAGCAGATTAAAGAATTTTGCACTGATCTTGATTTACACAAGATTAATTCTTCCAGCTCCAGTTCTCCCAAATACTCAAACCAGCATTGCTCCTACCCTGAGAGGCAGCAGAAGGGGAAATGCAGACTAATGCTTTGTGATGGCAGCAACTTCCCTACCATTTCCCCCTCACCTGATTTGGGGTTCAGGGAATCACACTGAGCATTGTACATGTGCACAAATTCCTGGTGTCTCTTGATGAGCTGCTGGCGGGTGCCAGAGGTGGACAGACCATGCTCCTTGAGCTTCTTCCTCAGATCTCGATCCGACAGCAGGTTATAAACAACTTTGGACATCAGCTTCCTTTTGTGAGCAGAACTGCCAAAGGAAAACCAAGAAGATTAATTAATACTCCTATGAAAATCAAAATATTTAATTATTTTCACCCACTCAGGATAACACACACGTGGAAGAAACTTGTGTTTCACACCCCAGTACTGGCTGTGTCTTACTCMAATCAGTTGGAGAAATATTAAAAAYATTAAATCATTGAGCCAAAACTTGAATTAGGAGATTTCTCATCTTTCTAGGGAAACGTCTTTGAGAAAAATAGCCATGTACCTGAAGGCAGCAGTTGCCAGCTAACAGAAGGGTGGTTTGGTGATACACACAAAGACATTAAAGACAAATAACAGCAYTCTCAGAGGAATAACATCTAAAGCCAAAATTTACTGCTTTTCACTGTTTTTTGTCAGAAGAACTCAACATTCCTGGCACAGCTGGGAAAAGCATCTTAATTACAAGAAACTGCCAGAGAAAATTCAAGTCCTAGTACAACTTTTGTCACCTAAAATTAGCAGAACATTTCCTCCTGTCAAATTAGCTCAGGCTTCCCTACATCTCCTGGTGAGATATTCTCAAACMAAGGGGCCAAAACCCATTTACTGCCTCACTCATCTTCTGCAACTACAGTAATTCAGAGGAACAGCATTTAATTAGACATTTTTCTTTATGCACCAAAACAAAATTCAGCTGCACCACTCTGGATTACAGAGCACTTAACAGCTTTCCACTGTGAAAACAAGATATTTATTTGAAAACTATTCAGCACTTTGAATTAATCACATTGAAAATTTCAAGGTTAAAAGAAGTTTCTTATGCAAAAATTGTCACTAATTCACTTACTCTCATCCAGTCATGTAGCATAGCTGGTAAAATGAAGATAGATTATTATAACACACTTGTCAGGGAAACTTTTTTCAGATTCTTTTGGGTAATATAATAAATTTCACTAAATAATTAAATCTTTTGAAAGCCCTAGAGAAGTTTGGGGTGTATTGCAGTTCCCCAGCAGCACGACCTAAAGAGCACTGATTGCTTGGCCTGCAGGAAAACAGCTCACAACAAGTTTAAATCCTAATGTTTTCCCATGCTTGATAAACACAGTGTTCCCTGGGAACACACTTTTGTGTTGGAATTACCCCAGTGGAGGTTTGGGGGGCTAAATTAGCAGTTCTGCTGAAAAWGCTCAGCTGTGAACAGCCACGTGCTCCTGGTTTGACAATAAAGAGTTTGCAATCCTAGAGAAGCATTAGGGATGTGCTGCTGCTGGAACCAAACATCACAACTAAGGGCCAGAATTCCCCAAAACTGCCAGTCCCAAGGGTCAGTGGCTGGCAGCACACCTGCTGAAGACATAAGCAGTCTGGAGATTAAATAAGCAGAATTTAAAATCCTGTTAGAGACATGGGCTTGACACCAAGGACTGATCTGGCTTWTATTTCCATTTATTAAGAACAGAGAAAGCACTAAAACACACCAAAGGGAAATTAAATGTAACAGCAGATTTCAATATTCATTTACTGTTTTTTTCTTCTTGGAAGTCCTTTAGCTTACAGACTGCACTCTAAGCATGACTGGGCAAAACAAGAGCTTTAACATAAAATTACTTTCTCATTCAAGTTTCAGGGGAACTGGGAAAAAAAGTATTGCAGCATAAATCCTCCCAGTTCTTCAGTCTGATCAGTCAGAAATAACAGCCTAAATTTCTGCTCTAAGTAAAACAAACTGAAACTCCACTTTGGATGAGAATGTGGTGACCGTGACCAATGCTGGGGCAGGGACACAAAGCCAAAGGAATACATTAATCTTATGGAAATGGAGATCTTCAGGAAACATCAACAGCACCACAGAGAGGARAGAAAGGGGCAATTTTTATTCCTTAACTTGACAGCTATTGAAGAAAACGTCACTTGGCACACCTGAACCAAGGRAAGCAATTCATTCACTGAATGAGAAATGGGAATCAGTGTTATCTGAAGGGAATTTTAATGCCACGGAGCAGAAAGGTGACAAGTACAATGCMCAGACTAAGTTCTCCTCCCTGTGCTGAATGTTTTTAAGCATTGGCCCCTGTTTTCTTGCCACTAAAAGCCAAAGAATAATTCTGCTAGCAACCCACTTGTTCAAGAGGGGACAATCCTGACAGTGATTTCAGAATGCTCTATGCAGCAGGGAAGCCAGAAACAAACACAAACCACTGACACCACTGTTATATCCCAGCAATAAACAGTTGTTAGTTCAGCAGTGCACAAAACAACCACATGCATTTGGAAGCTCTTAGAGCTGCTCCTCACCTTCGGAGACTGTCCTTCTTCTCCTCTCTGCTCAAGCAGCTGTCCAGATGTTTGTTTATATATTGCTCTAGAACAGGAACCTCACAAACAGGACATTCCACTGAAAGCAAGGAAGAAAGAAGTGTGGATAAAACAGCAAAGAGCAAATGTTTCATCTGAGAAACTAATTGCTGATTGAAGAAAATGAAAATCTAGAACTCCAGATTCCTTGTGTTACAAGGTCTTGCGTGTCTACCCAGAATCTTCATTTTTAGCAAGTTCCAGAGCACTGATTTCCCTCTCTGTGTTAYCAGACTGGCTCTGATCTTGCCTGCAGTCAGAGGGAATAACAGATCTAATAAAAYCTAGGCTAACACACACACTATACAACAACCTTGGGGCTAATAGAAACAGCATCAGATTTCCTGGGTAAAGCTTTCCACTTTTATAGTATTTTACTCCTAAATAAAGGAAGCTGCTTCATTTTGATAAAACACTCTAGCACAAGCTTTATTCACGTTTTTGGTTATAAAATAACCTGCATCTGGCTACTCAAGGACACAAGGGCAGAATAACTGTCAGGGTCTCTCTAGTCATTAGGGGGAAGGAGAAATGACTTCATTTTTACTGAGTAAGCCTGTTGCACAACTGTTGTTTTTTAGAGTTGTTACTCAAAGCAAAGGAATCTGYAGGCGCTGAATTCCGTTTGGTTCCTCGGCAGCAGCTGCAGCTTCCTCATGAAGAACATGCTTGGAGCAGATCTGTCCCACATGAGCAACAATGGGAAGGGAAGGAGTGAATGTGCAACAGGGATCAGAACCACGAGGAGAAATGGGATGAGTGCCACGTGCTGAGGGTCCTCCAACAGCCTCATGTGGGGGAGAGAGCAGGAATAACCCAAAATGGAACAGCTCACCTTTCTTGTCTCCTTTCACCACAGACGTAGAAGGCTTTTCATGACTTTTGGCACACTCAGGAATCTCCTGTGATCCCACTTTGYTGTCTTTACCACCATCCTCTGCAGAAGTGCCATGAAGCTCCTGGAGCTCCTCAGTTTTGCAGCTCTTCTGATCAGCCCCTTCCAGGCCACCTGCCTTTGTCAAGGTGTCCTTTGAGGAGCTGTCAGTGACTGGCACCTCCCTGGAATCTGGCTGGCAACCAGGACTCCTGACGTGGCTCTCAGCAGCTGCACGCTGGCTGCAGACTGGAGAGGATGGAGTGGATGGAGCATCCAGCACCAACTGCAACAGCTGCTGTCTGGAAACAGCCAGAAGGAAACAGTTAGCACTGATCAGTTTTCCTGGCTTCTCCCAGAATGGGGTATTTTGGGCTCAGAGGAGCTGCTGATGACACCTCCCAGTCCCACAGCCCAGCCCCAGGGGCTGAAGAGCCAGGGCACAGCAGAGGCTCTGGCACAGCCCTGGGSTCTCCAACAGCACTGGCACCTGCCATCCCCTCCCTCAGCACCAGAGTGAATTACCCAAATTCCTCATTAATCACAGAAATCCTGGCAGCTGTTATTGGAGAGGTTCAGACAAGCATCACTAGACTGGAACACTCATCCATCATTCTGAGAGCCCAGAGAAAGCCTGGAGTGATGGAGGAGTCCAAGCTCTGCCATCAGCAGAGTGTCCAGCTCACCTGGGAGCTGATCCTACGGCAAACCTCTGTTCTACAAAGATTATTGCATTTTATGTATGGTCTCAACATTATCTATGATACTCTGAAGAATTTAACAGACTGCTGTGAGCTCTGAGGTCTGAGCTGACAGGATTTTACCGTCCTGCCATGAAGTAGTAACCACAGCACAGCAAASACTCAGTTTATGAGCAGAGCAGCAAGGCTGAGAGATGAATCAACCAAGCATCAGCGAGCCCAGATCCACCAGTACAACCCCCACCCAAATCCTCCTGCAAGACCCATCCTCCTCAGTCCCTGCCTTGGGCTCAGGCAGGGAGTTAAAAAGCACTCGTTTAACTGAAGACAGATCCAGGAGCCTCCAGCACCCTCCCCCTGCTTCAAAAACAGCAAGAACAGCTCCCCACATTTCTTCCTTCAGATGTGTAACACCCACAAAAACTAAATGTTCTTCATCAGAATCCTGGGTTCCCATTTTATGACCCGTTTACTTCTCTCTTGCTGAAGCAGAAATGAAGCAATACTGTCAGGAATCTAGAGCTTCCACATAAATAAAATCCAGGGAAGAGCCAGAGCTGTGAATCTTCCTAGGAACARCTCAAACAGGACAGTCCCAGCTGCTCTAAAGGCAGGAAACTCCTTCTGCATTCCTGCTGCAGGTTCAATCAGTGCAGCAGCAGTGACAGCATCTGCTCTCTCGAGCACCAGAGTTTCTGTGTTTATTCCTCTGACTCACTACCTGTCCAGTAACCCCCATTAGGAAACAGAGACAAACTTGACAGTGAAAACATTTTTCTTCCCTATGCATGAAGAAAAGCAGAGATTCTTTCCAGCAAGGACTACTTTTCTACTTGCACAAGTATAACTACAATTTCTATTGAGAAAATGCAGAAATTGATAAATTTTATCAAAATAATCKCTTTAGTAGAGGGCAATGAAATAAATTCTTTACACTTCACACCCTCTGCACAGCTGCACTCCCACACATCACCCCTGTGACAATAATGCCAGCTCATCCTGCACACTCCTGATGCTGAGCAGAACACAAATGGGATCAGCACTCACCTCTGCTGGAACCATTCCCATTCCCWGCACACAGCTGACCTTGGAGCACAGCTTTCACTCTGCTAAGTGCCACCAATATTACCATTTTCTTCCCCTCCAGGCCTGACTTAAGAAAGGGGTTTGCACTTTGTGAAATGCTGAGAAGATTTAAGGCCTAATTTTCATAAACATCCAACTACCCAAGGCACAAAGTCACRTTAGAACATACCTGACCTTTCAAACACGCTGAGCTCCTCAACCCCTGGACTTTGGATTTGTTTTTGGGGAGAGCCAAGACAAAACAAAGCAGATGGGGAAGGAGGGGGAAGACAGAAGATTAGTCCTGTACCAACATCAGCCAGGCAGAAAGCAGCAGTGGTGTTACAATTTAATGATATTTGTCCCATATAATGATGTCCAGATGAGCAGTGTCCCCTCAGCTCAGGGCACATGCAGCCCCCAACACGAGGACAYCACACTGACTGTCACCTGTGTCCCTCTGAGGAGTGTCACACTGAAAAACTCAGCACTGAGCCCTTCCCACTCAACCCCAGAGTGAGCCCTGACTGCTCCCCTGTGCCAGGGCTCTGCAGTCCTGCTGCTCTGACTTCCTGGGAAAAACTGAATGAGCTCCAAGGCACAMAAAAAAGCTTATTGAACTACTCTCACTGGGAAGATTTATACTGGTCCATTAAAGCAGCCCAAAAAAATTAACATTTAAGGTTCAATATCATAATGGGCCCAAGTCAGCACTACTTGTTCCCTACAAAAAAAAAATAATCCATTTATCACTAGAAGAACCAGAATTCAAGCAGAAACCATGAAACTGTAAGATTTAAATTATTAAAATAAATCAATTAAATATAGYAGTGGTCATATAAAAGATTAGATCTATCTACATTCTATGATCTTCATCAGAGAAAAATTCTCTCATGAAACAAAGCCACCAGCTGAACTATGCCTCCTGTCACTGATGAAGCCAAGAGTCTCACTGACTTCCAGTTCCAAGACAACTTCAGAGAAAAAAAATGTGAAAAAGCTTCTGTCTCCTATAGATATAGAAATACCCACAGAATTCCCAGGAAATCATTGAATTGCTTCTCATCAAAAGAAAATGGACAGATAATACAAGGAGCTTCATGTATCTACTGTGGTGAGAGTTTACCAAGTCATATTTATTCGATTGTTCCTGTTTTTTAAAGTGATGTGAAGCTCAAAAATTAATTAAAAACRAACAGAAAAGTTGCTAAGAAATCAAGGTGAAAGCACACTCCATTACTTTTCTTACTCAAGAAAGCTCACATTTTTCATCTCTCAATACCTACAATTTTCTTCACCAATGACTTCACCAAGAGAATTCTCTTCCAAAGTGACCATTATCACTGGACAAAATCTGTTCACAATTTCCCCTGCACACATAGGAAGGATCTTCAAAGAAAATCTGTATTACCATTATTTTCCCCACAGAATCTTGACATGTTTGTTGACTTCCTATGAATTGGAAGAGACTGCAGCTTCCAGAGCAGCTCACCAGAAACAGAACCAAAACAGGCCTGTCAAACCTCCACATCACCTTCATCTACAACACTGGAGGATTTTTCCAAAGTATAAACATTTATCTTTGATAATGTTTCTGTGACACCACAATTTTTTTTTTTTTGCTCAGCTGTCACACTGCTCCTCTCCATGGACTCTGAGCCTGGTCACACACTGTCATAAAACTCCATAAATACCTTGCAGAATTAAAGCTCTTCACTAGATCATCTAGCAGCCKGTTGTTTTTCAGGTCAGATTCCGAGACTGCCTATGAAAAAAAAGAAAGAAGAAAAAAAAAWWAAAACCACAASCAAACAAACATTCAGATGCAGTCAAAACAGCAAGTGCCCAGAAAATGTTCAAGTGATCAATAACTTGCTTCTTGGCTCAATGTCTCAACTGCCCCCAGTAAAGTGCTATAGGAATTAAGATGAATAAAGGGTAAACATTTTTTTTTCCCAAAGAACATACTAAAATAACTGCCTGAGAATTTATGTCTGGGAAATTAAGTTTAATATATAAAAACAAAGCATACAGCTAAAGCCACAAGGCCCAGTGTGCCCAGGCTACAACAATGGTTTGTAATAATTTTGAAAACCAAACCAAGGATCTTCACAAGGTGGTAAAAACCTCAAGCAACAAAGCATGCAAACTGATGAAGGGAAATGTAAACTTCTGATTATGGAATGAAAACATGAATTATGAGATGCCTGTGTGCATTCAATTCATACTTKCTAAACAATTTTTGATTTTWATTTTTGCAACTCTCTTCTTTTTARCAAAGCTTTTATTARTTTCTCATASCAATACTTGTCAGTTTTAAGCAGGTGGTAGTAAAATGTATTCCACAGAGTAGTCTCCACTTGTTTGATGTTTAACARGTGGCAAAGATACAAGCAGGTACATTTTCTAGTCTTGCCCAAAGAGCTGCCCACCAAAACATGATAATATGTGATCAGAATTAATTATCTGGCACAGTCCAAAGGAAAAAGTTCCTGAGATTTGCAAAAAAAAAAAGGAAAAAAACCCAAAACACACTTACCACACAGCATGTTGGACACTGAGTTTTGTAGGACAAAAACTTGCGGATACAAAGGGAACAATCTGGGAAAAGGAAATAGATAATTTTGAAGCAGGCATTCTTCYAAATGCAGTTCCAAATCTTTGTTTGTATATTTCCTTATTGTGTAAATTATTCTATAATACATCAATATGGAAAATGCACCATTTTCCCATGGAATTGAGATTAACATTGTTGCAAAAAAAAAAAGAATCCCTATTTTATGCAAACATGTTTCAACATCAAATATCAACCCCTCCTCTAAAGATGATTATTGTTTCCTTTTGCTTCCCAGGGCAAAACAAGAAAACTTTCATCAGCCACCACCACTACAGACAGCAGTGTTTGCCCTGCTCACTCCCTCACCATGCTGGGTTTTTGACATGACTGATGTAGGATCACTTTCATCCTCCTGCACAGGCCCAGATAAACTCACAATCCTCCTTTTTCCCAGGCTCTTCTGCCTCTTTCCAAAACAATACCAACTTGTTKAAAGAAGAGGCTAAAAAGGAGGGGAAACAGCACTGAAATGCTGAGAGACATCTTAACATCATTTCATCATCACAGTCTATACCTCAACAGACTCTTGGTGAAAATGCCATGAGCTTCATTTGGYCACAGTAAATTTCTGAATTTGCTAACATTTGTCAACTTATCTGTGAGCTTTCACAGTCACTTAAGGATTYTAAATATCTCCAGGAAAAGACATTGACCCACTGAATCACTACGGACCAGAGGAGCAGCATCTCCCGAAGCAGATCTATATTTCACAGACCTTCTGGGAATGCATCTGAAAAGCAGCAGAAGCATTAATTAATCCCARAACGGTTTGTGTTGGGATGGACCTTAAAGCTCGTTTCATCCCATGCCATGCCATGGRCAGGGACMCTTTCCACAAGARGARGTTGCTTTAAGCCCGGTCCAACCCATCCTTGGACAYTTAMAARGATGGRGCARCYRCAGCTTCTCTGGCACCCTGTGCCAGGGCTCCCCAYGCTCACAGGGAAGGATTTCTCCCGAATCTCGAATCTAACCTGTCCTCGGTCAGGGGGACACCATGCCCCGTGTGTGGCACTCCAGGCCCTTGCAAACGCTTTATCTCCACCTTTCCTGCAGAGCGCCCTGCAGAACCTTCCCTTGGCTGGGCTGACAACCCCGGCCTTTCCTCCCAGTTCACTCTCAGGAATTTCATACACAAGACTGGGCAGGTGCCACAAGAGCCGCGGAACTCACAGTTGTGCGAGCACTGCGGGATGATCACGGCGATGCTGAAGTAGTCGAAGCAAATGCCACAGCG